TCAAGAACGAAAGTTGGGGGATCGAAGACGATCAGATACCGTCCTAGTCTCAACCATAAACGATGTCGACTAGGGATTGGCGGATGTCTATTGGATGACTCTGCCAGCACCTTGTGAGAAATCAAAGTTTACGGGTTYCGGGGGGAGTATGGTCGCAAGGCTGAAACTTAAAGGAATTGACGGAAGGGCGCCACCGGGCGTGGAGCCTGCGGCTTAATCTGACTCAACACAGGGAAACTCACCAGGTCCAAACATAGCAAGGATTGACAGATTGAGAGCTCTTTCTTGATTCYATGGGTGGTGGTGCATGGCCGTGCTTAGTTGGTGGAGTGATTTGTCTGGTTAATTTCGTTAACGAATGAGACCTCAGCCTGCTAAATAGCTACGCGGGGACCTTTCCTCGTGGCCAGCTTCTTAGAGGGACTGTTGGACGACTAGCCAACGGAAGTTTAAGGCAATAACAGGTTTGTGATGCCCTTAGATGTCTGGGCCACACGCGCGCTACACTAATGAATCCAAGGAGTCGCTTGCCTGGGTCGAAAGGCCCGGGTAACCTTCTTAAGGTTCATCGTAACGGGGATAGATTGTTGTAATTATCGATCTTGAACGAGGAATGCCTAGTAAGCGCGAGTCATCAGCTCGCGCTGATTACGTCCCTGCCCTTTGTACCCACCGCTCGTCGCTCCTACCGATTGAATGGTCCGGTGAAGTGTCTGGATTGCGGTGATCTCGGCGGTTTGCCGCTGGGGGTGCTGTGAGAAGTTCATTGAACCTTATCGTTTAGAGGACGGAGAAGTCGTAACAAGGTTTTCGTAGGTGAACCTGCGGAACGATCATTGACACGTGAATGGCCGATCTTTGGGGTGTGGGACGCTGGCTTGCTCGCCCTTCCGCCGCCCTTTGCCCCCATCCTCCCTGCACCCGCTTTTCTCTTCAGTTTCAGCACCATCTTGGGCTTAGTGCCCAGCTGGCGGCTGGCCCGGCGCAGAGGGGCGAGTGGTGAAGGTCGAGGGTGGGGGGCGTGGGCAGGGTCCGGGGCCTTGTGGCGTTGCTCCCCCTTCATCCTGTCTCACCTCCGCAGGTTGTTACCTCGGCCCAGCCCCACTCTCGAGTTCTGGTCGAGATGGTGGTTGGTCCGGGCAAGGACAGCCCTGCGGGAGGGTCAGGGGCGGGATGTCGGGTGGTGGCGGCGGCCCTCGGCCTGCGTACCCCCGCTCCTTCCCGTCTCAGCTTTGTCCAGACCTCCTTTCCATCCCGGCCTCGGCCTCGGCTTCGTGCGGAGCTTGTGGCTCGTTTGGGGATCGAGGGTCGTGGTACAGGCTAGGGGCGGGGTGTGTTGCGGGTCCTCGGCCCCTCCCCGTTTCGTCCTACCTTCCTTCCCAACAGGGTTCTCCTTTCCGGATAGATCGTCGTCCTCGACACAGTCGAGGTGGTCTGAATCTCGGGGTGGAGGGCCGTTGGGGGAGGGTTTTGGTCGTGAACGGGGTGGTGTTGGGTTGGGGG